AAAAAAAAAAAAAAGAAGCTATAACGGCGTTTTCCCAAACGCCACTACAGTACCAACGGTTATATTTTTAAAATAATAAAAAATCTATTACGGCGTTTTTAAAACGTCTCTAAATACTAAGTGACGTCATTTTATTGTTATTTACCACATTTAACGGCGTTTTTAAAAACGCCGTCTATACTAATATAACGACGTTTTTAAAGTGTCATAATGTTATAGCGACGGTCGCGTCTTCGACGTTTGTACTAAACGCCGCAAAAAGAATTAGCAGCGTTTTTTATACCTATAGCGGCGTTTTTTAAACGCCACCAAATGTGAAATTTTTAGCAGTGGTGATTCATATTTCTTGACACTAGTCAATCTCAAAGCTTCTGATTCTCTAAAAACCTTGTCATTGAATTGCCTATGAATTGCTTGAATATGTAAGTTTTTTCAGAACATTGATTGCCATTGATGTAGCTGTGTTGCAGATTATGGTATCCATCTTCATTAAGCTTTATGCAGAGTTTGTGTAGTGGAAATGATAGTTCTATATTAGCCGTCACAGAAGGCTGCCAGGTTTTGCCTTTTCATTTTGTATACATTTTTAAAAAAAAATTAACATTTGAGCTTATTTCTTTGTTTACCCATTTTGGCATTTTTCCATCTTTTTGAATTACTGCAGCTTTCCATATGGGACTTGAGAATGAAAGAAAATGGTGGTTGTGTGCATAGGATATATGGTTCTGTTGGAGATATCTTCTATGCAGTCTGTAGTTCTTCAACTAGTATTGCAGTGGGAGGAGCTGATTGTACTGTTACCGTCTACGATCATCGCAGGTTGGTTACCATGTCAGGCATAATTTCATCCATTAATGGCCATTTCTGTATCCCTACAAAGTTGTGAATGGTCGAGTTTAGATTTTATGGCATTAACAATGAAGAATCAAATGTCTTGATTCTTATAATGGCCCTGTTTGGTACAGCTTAATTTCAGCTTATTTCAGCTTTCAGCTTAATTTAAGCTATTTTGATGTGTTTGGTTTAGCTTATAGCTTATAGCTTATAGCTTTGTGGAAGTCAGAAAACAGCTTATTCTTTAAGTGGGGCAGGAGATGCTTTAAGAATAAGCTGAAAATCAGCTTAAGCTGAAAGTTATAAGCTATAAGCTGTTTACACAACAAACTCAATCGCTGTAACTTAAAGTTATTACGATTCTTTCATCATGAGTTTCATAGAATAGAAAGCCTATAGAATATGAGCTGCTTTTGATAAAATAAATTGGTCCACTTTTTTGGTTCTTCAAATTATTCTAGACATTCTATGAATTACTGAGGAATTGTCTATTGGCCAATTAGATTGGATTTTAAATTAATAGAACAAAGATGACATTTCTAGTGAATATTAGTTACTTAACATCCATCCACTTTTTGAGAAGGGTGACATTTTTGTTGAATCATTACCTTCGATGGCTTAGTTCATTAGATCATGATATCACCACCACCACCACTACTACCACAATCACTATCTCCTCCTTCTCATCATTGTTATTTCTATAAACAAATATGTTCCCTCTTCCATGTCCCCATCATTTAAAGCTCAATCCTTTTCCATGAATAGCTAATCGTTTATTCATCCTAACTTGTCATCTTGTAAGTAATTTGTTGCTTGCATATGAAAGAGCTAAGGGAATTCATCTCTTCTGTAATCGAACAGATTGAATTTGATAGATCTGCTGAAACTGTCACGTATGGTTCTAGTAGAGATCTTTTCAAATTTTCGAGTTTTAGCATTCCTTGCAAATTAATGTTTGTATAGCCATAAGCAAACTCAGTTCTAGATCTTTGTGTGGACCAAAAATGTTCAGATATTCACAAGCCTCTCTTGGTTAGGCTGGCCAAAGAGTTTTTGAATTGATCAAACTTTGCAAAGGCTCCTGACCTTATGAAATATTATCATGTGGGAAAAGCTAACAAGGATGGAGCTTGTTTTTGTGTTCTTTTTGGGAAAATTTTGTTGTTGATTGTAGAAACGTCAATTGGTATGTATGTTAGATGTCCTAAGCACATTCAATTGGTTTCTTTGAAATTAAATATTTGTCTCGTTGTTGTGAAAGATCAAATACTGAAATCCGACCTATCTGCCTGGTGAGGAGAAAAGAGTTATCATGCATTGTATTAGATGATGAGAGCAAAGGACGAATTAGATGAAAAAGAGAGTGATGTGACACAATTAAACAGCTATTGGAGAAACAAACAGAGAGATGTTTGTATATATGGTTCCTGGTACCTCTTTTGTATTGTAGTAAGATACCATTCAAACTTTAAGAGGTGAGGGGAAAAGAAATTTGATGAGGTTAATTTTCTTCAAGGAAGATCATTTGTTAATTGCATGTTTAAGCTATTGACTACACAATAGATCTACTGAAATGTGTCTCTGTCCTGTGATGCCATTGATGAAGTGTTGAACATGCACGTCAAAGAGGAAAAACAGAAAGATAGAGAGATTGTAATTTTGTAGACACCCCATTTTTGACTGACCTTAAGACTCAGACGTCACCGATTGAGCGCTTGGTGATGTTGCATATCGTGCTCGTTCAGAGGTTTCAGAGTCTCGGCTGCGAGCCTTGCGTCCGGACTTCCGGACTCTTTCATGCTTTGCCTCGGTTTGCGAACCAGGCTCTGTTTTCTCTTCCTGAAGGGAGGGAGAGGTCTCGTAGATCATCTCTCAGTGGCCGTAGGCTACGTTTCGTGGTCGTAGGCCATTTTTCCTGTTTGGAGTTCGGTTTCCGGTTTTTCGGAGCCGTTAGCCGTGTGCCTCGGTTCGGGACCGCTTAACCACCTCCGTTTGCTCTAGTTTTTGGCATACATCTTATTTGCTCC